GGTAGAAGTCTGAAAATTATTTTAAAAATTTAAAAAGAAATCTTAAATGAAAACTACAGTAACTGAAATTCATTAACTCAATAGATGTGCTTAGCAGCAAAACAGACATAGGTAAAGAATTAATGGACTGGAAATATACAGAGTTGGGTATAGAGAGAAAAAAAATGAAAAGTGAGAAGGTAAGAGACATGGGGAAATATGAAAAAGCCTACCATATGCGTAATTTGAACTGCAGAGGAAAAGTGAAAGAATGAGGCAGAAGAAATATTTAAAGAGAAAACAGCTGAAAAAGTGTACTGAGCTAGAAATTTAGAAGTCTTATGATCCAAAACAAAGAAAATGAAAAACATAACTAAGCACAGCATAAGAAAACTGATGAAAACCAAAAACAAAAAGAAGTTCAATTCCTCAAAGCACGTAAAGAAAAAGGTACAATACCCTCTCAAAGGGGTATCAAAACAAAATAAAGAAAGTAAAAAACATAACTAAGCACAACATAGGAAAACTTCTGAAAACCAAAAACCAAAAGAAATTCTTTAATACTTCAAAGCAACTAGAGAAAAAGATATATTGCCCTCAAAGAAGTATCAAATAACACTGACAGCTGACTTCACAATGAGAGCCAGAAGGCAATGGCATTCTTCAAAGTGCTGAAAGAAAATAACTTTGTCAACCTAGAATTCTATTCCTGGGAAATGAAGTCATTTTAGACAAACAAAAGCTTAGAAGTTTGCTACCAGCAAATCTATAGTAAACGAAATTCAAAAGGTGTTCTTCACTCAGTAGGAAAATGGTCCCAGAACAACAATAATAATAACGCCTTGTTATTTAAAATTATAATACAAACAACAATAAGCATATACATCAGGAGAAAAGTGACTAGAGATAAGTGTTCTGAAGTCTTTGTATTATCTGAAGTGGGTAAAATTACAAGGGATCATTAGTTGCTGATAAGTGAAGGATGCAAGTTATAAATTCTTGGATACTGAGTAAAACAGTATATATCTCTCAAGTTAATAGAGGAAAGGAAATGGAATAAAAAAAATATTCTCTCATTTCAAAATAAAGCAATTTTTGAAAAAATAGCAAACAAAAAATTTTAAGGCAATTTTAAAATTTAATGTTAAGGCTGAAAGAGAGACCAACTTATCAGATATTAAAACAGAGTATAAAACTAGAAACCCCAAATCCTATTTGAATAAAAGAGGAACAAACACAAATAAAACATAAAGATACAACAATTAAAAGTGTGGTTATGACACAGGAATGAATACATAAAATAATGCAAGCAATAATAGCTTAGAAATAACACTGGTCGAGAGAGGCAGGGCCAAGATGGGGGAGTAGTCAGACGGCTTCCTATATCCCTCTTACAACAAAGACCTGGAGAAACAAGTGATTTCATTGTATATGAGTATCTAGGAGCCCTGAACAAGGCAAAGTTGAGGAATCAGACTGAGTGGCGGGAGGAGAGGGAAATGGTACGGAAGAAGTGAGGAGCGCCAGAGTGGCAGTGGCAGGACTGCAGCTTTTCAGCTGCTCCAGGTCCGCAGTGAAGCAGGCAAATAGCTGCACACAAGCTTGGGAGGCAGTTGCCACACTGAGAGAGATCTGGCAGCAGAGATTCTGCTTGGACACTCTGAACCAGTGAAAAGCAGCTCCTAAGTGGCTAAACATAAGTACATGTGTGCAGCCTTTTGCAGAGATTAAAAAAAAAAAGTCCGTTTGGGAAAAACCTCTCTCTTTTACCTCCTCCCTCCCCGCTCTACACTGGGAGTCTCCTGGGCCGGAAGTAGATCCCAAAAGGCACCCTGACCCATTCTCCTGGCCTTGGAGGGGGAACAAATAAGCTACTGGCTCCCCTAAGCCAGCAACTCAGGGTTGGCACAGCTCCTTTGCTAAGCACAGGCATGAGAGGGCTGCAGACTTTGAGTGCCTTACACCCCGTATAGACTTGTGGGGACCCATCTCAACAGTGTTAGCCCTCACTACCACAGTACAACAGGGTAAACATCTGAAGTTTAACTTCAACTGTTTCAGCTGTGAAGTGGAAGATTTGTGACCCTCGACACAGCCCTGCCCCTTAAGCAGGCACCTTTACTGATCCGCACCAGGGGCTTGAGGACTGGTGGCGTCACCTACACCACCTAGTCACCTGCTACAGGAGTCCAAGAAAAAGTGGTGCCCTCAAGTCTTTACAGCCAACAGAGTAGGGTGCTCGTAGTCTGGCTGCAAAACTCACCTACCTAATCACTGTAGGAATAGGGACACGCCTTCCTTTCAGACTCTGAGGGATAGCCGGCTCAGCATGTGACACCCTATCACAGCCAGATACCAGTACCTGCACCAATCACCAATGCTTCTCTAAGACTGTAGGTAAGAGCCTGCACCACACACTTGGTGACTGACTGCCGGGACACCTGAGCTGAATCATTATAGGAAGATTTAATGGACTCCTGTGTGCACATACTTAGTTACAGAACTAATTACCTGGTGACAGGACGTTAGAGTTTCAAAGGCACCCATAATCAAACTAGCACACATGAGCAGCCTATTGGGCATATCAAAACAAAACAAAACAAGAAGCTAGGACTCACTAAACAAATATAAAATAAAATTATAATAACTTATTGATGGCTCGGAGACAACAGTCAATATCAAATCACATAAAGAGGCAGTCCATGATAGCTTCAGCAAGCTCCCAAAATAAAGAATCAATAAATTCTCTGGAGGAAGAGAATTTCTTGGAATTACCAGAGGCAGAATACAAAAGATTAATATACAGTACTCTTCTAGAAATTAGAAAGGAAATTCGACAAAATGCATAAACAGCCAGGGAACATACAGACAAAGTAGTAGCGGAACTTAAAAAAGTTATTCAAGAACATAATGACAAATTTAATAGGCTGCAAGAATCCATAGAGAGAAAGCAATCAGAAATCCAGAAGATTAACAATAAAATTTCAGAATTAGACCACTCAATAGAAAGTCAAAGGAGCAGAACTGAGGCAGTAGAAGTTAGAATTA